GTAATATTTAGGGTTTCAAATATTGGAACTGGGTTGGAGATTTAATATTGCTATCTTTCTAGGGAAGCCTTTGTTTCCCACAAATTTACCCACTTTCTTCATAGAGAACAATTATGTGCCAAGTCAAGACCACCATTTTGCAGTGTAAAGTATTACACCTTGGTTACTGGAGAGTACCCACAGCTTATAATTGTGCAGCTAAGGGTACTATACATATAACTCCCCCCTACTCAATAACATAGAAACTGCTTCTAAATTATGTTGATATGTGGGAATGCCTATCATTCAGACATTTTTTTAGATGTCCTTGAAAACAGTTAACTGCATTTTGAAAAAAAAATACATTTTTAATATTAACCCATCATGAGGACTAAAGTGAGAAGTGGTCTTTAAATTGTTCCTCAAGCTAGAGAATTCTAGAAATTTCATAAGAACCTTAAAAACTTAGAATAATCAAGTCCCACAGAACACCTAACCCTACCCTGCCCCAATTTCCAGTAACATATTTTGGGAGTTAAGTGAACAAAACATAAGGGGCTATCTGAGAAATATTTGGAAACTCTGAGTTTCTCAGATATTTAGTTTTGAAAAGTTCTGGGATGAGTTTTTCTGCAATGTAATTCACCTTCAAAGGTGCTTTTGGAACCCTTTGGTTAACTTGGCCTCATTAGGCAGAAATAGGTCAAAGAACATCCCACAAATTTTTATGAAGACCTTTAGAGAAGATAAGAACTTTAAAGTTTCTAGTGGGACAAATGTATATTAATTTCATATATGATATTATGTGAATATAAAAATATAATTTCATAATTACCTCATCCTTATTCATTGTAGACTTGATTGGCCAGGACACCCAGCAATACCAGTGCCCCCTAGTGGTCATTTAATAATCATAACTGTCTTTCACAACTAAAAATCACCCGGTTTAAAGAGCAGAAACAATTGCAAGAGGAGATGCCATGAAAGCATGCATATGCAATTTGCAGTCTAGGTGAAACTTTTCTATCAGTGTTGGTAATTTATGGCAATATGCAGTAGAAATATGGGCAAGATTAAACAATATTCTTCAAAAGAGTATTGAACATACATAAAGTCATCTGAGTACAGAATGCCACATTTTTCTGGCTACTATATATATGTATATACACACACATACACACACACATATTCAGTAGTTATTTTGTATTAGTCAAGCAATATAAGTTAGTTGACTTAACATTCTTGAATATTTTGAGTGATTAAAAGTTCCAGAGTGACACTCAACTGGACTCAAATTTTGATATAAACTGAATTTGTGTTAAATTGTCTTAAGTTAGCTTAGTAATTTCAAGTAAAGAGTTATAATTGTAATCTTCTAAACATTACCAATTTATCTGACCTCAGAAAATCAATGAACAAAGGCACAAAATATAACTTGATTTGCTTACCTCTCTGAGTATGCTTGACTAAATCTGAAACTTAAATGAATATATGAAAATATTACTATGATTTTTATGAGATTAGCTTATGTACTTTCTTATAATGGACTGTAAACATTTTATCTAAACGACATAAATCATGTTAATGTAAATATGTAAATGGTGTCTTGCACAGTGGAAAGATTGTTTACATTTTGACTGAAATCAGAAAGAGAGAACCCAATTTTCTGTAATATCTATTAACTGAGACATAATGTTTCTTTTCTGTTTATAATCAGTTTCTTCTCATAGTACCTTTTCTAATTCAGTTTAAATTACTCCCTTTTCTGTGTTGCACTTGCTTTTTCCCATTTACCAGCTGTGAAAGTATTTAGACAGTTATTGTAAAAGTAGTAGGTTCAGAAACAACCCTTTAATTTCACTGTTTTTGCTGTCGATTATTTAGTTTGGCATCCTTGGATTTGTATCATGCAGAAATCTCCAGTTGTTCTTTACCCGCTAAAGTCCATTTACTACACATAATCATACACATACACACACATATAACGAACGGTTTTTATTTGAAAATTTATGAAATGTATTCCCTGAAGTCATTATAATTTACTTCTAAGTAACTACTTTGCCCTTCAAAACAAAGGATATTTCCCAGAGATAAGCAGTGAAATAAATATTAGTACTGGATGAAGCAAGTTAAAAGAAGATAACACGGATATTGTTATTTGGGATGTGTCTTGCACTTGTACATTCATTTTCATATATGTAGAGTTATGTGTGATTATTAATAGTTAAGATAAAAATATCACCATGCATAAAAATTGGGTGCATCACCTTTGCATCTAAGGATAGGCATTTTTCATTTTTCTACTGAATATATGTGACATGTCTCAACACAGAATCTGTATGAAAATACTAAGGTTCGGTCCCTTTTTCCTTATATTTAAAATTAGCTAACTATAAGTAGGTTACTCTATCAACTGCACTGTATAATGAAAACATCAAAATCAAAGAAAATAGATTTCAAAATTTGTGCTTCAGCTCACATGTGTAACTTGTGGACGTCTTTTCCTAGGGTGGGAAAAATGACTCTTATTTTATATACAAACACACATTTACTTTTCTAAAATTTGCTTGAGATAATACTCATACTGTATAGATATACTTAAAATAAACTTTGAGTAGCATGCATTAACTCTTAAATGTTATTTTAAATTAGGAAAGTTTGTGAACTGATTAGTTTTTACTTCAATGGCTTCCTGCACAATGTAGGTTTATATGCGTTACAATTCTAGTCCAATGCCAGTTTGTACTTTAAAATAAATGCTATCTAATACAGGATCATGAACACTTTTTTCCTTGACTAAGTAATTCATTGTTATTTAAATGCCATGCCTTCTCTATCACTGTAACTGGATAGATAAGAAAGTACAGAAGGTTGGTAAACCTAAAAATGAGTATCATTGTGCAACTCTGCTGGGAAAACTGTCAGCAGCCTGGCACATGTGCATTTAATGTGAAGCCTCTTGTCTCTAAAAATAAAAAAACTAGGATGTACATGCCCCTGAGTCTGACAGGGAAGAGACACGATCAGGGGGCTCCCTACACCATTTACTCTCACCAGAGTAAAGAATGTTACTTCTTTGGTTTCCTGGATTAATGGAAAGGTATTTGTATTCACATCACTGAGTATTAGTCATTCAATAGATGAAAGGAATATTTGAAACTTTAAAGGCTACCTTGGTGTCATTCTAAGAAGTGGGGATGAGACCCTGGGGAAAGTGTTGAAATCCTGGAGAATTAACCATTAAAAGTGTTTTTATGTTTGTGAGGTAGTGGGTCTAAGACTAATAATTTTAAAGTCTATGTGAGGTTTATGTTATGAAATCTAATGTTTTACCTTACAATTTTTACACCTTATAGCATGATTATGTAAATGTTTTTTTTTTTCCTGTAACATGTTTGCTCTATATTTTTGTTTGTTTGTTTTCAAGGTTACATTTTCCATGCATTCAGTAAAGGACACTTACGATGGTTTTAGATGTAATTTGTAAAACATTTAGTAGGCATAATGTCTCAGAACACGTAACATGTAAGAAACTACAGAACCACCGAGCAAAAAGGAGAAGAAAATTTCATTTCTATTTTCTGCATAGCTGCATTAGACAAGTAAAAGCCACAGGAGACAATTTACCATAAAATGAAAAATTTTAAATCTGGGGATCTGTCACCTCTGAGAAATCTTTGCTAGAAGTACCGGAAACAATACAATTTACATTTCTAGATAGAAAGGACAGGAAAAGTTCAAAGCCTTACATGAGATCAAACTTTGCGGCTATCATAAATAAAGGTAAATTACAAATGACTGGAAATTGCTTTTAAAAAGGAAGACATATAGCACAAGAAGAACACGAAGTTCATCTTAAACATGTTATCAATTTACAACATGTGACCTTTGAAATGGATGATTTGGCAATTAAGGTTTTAAAGTCTCCCCACCCCTTATTATACCCACCTCTAGAACTGCAGTGTCGGAAACTGCCTAACGGTAGAAAGATTCTGGAGTGGTCTTCCTTGATACATCACTTGGATGAGCTCAACTGGTTACACTTTTGATTCTTAGTTTCCTTTGAAAAATAATGAATAATCGGGAAAAGTATTCATATTTGCGAAAGAGTTACACTCACTCTGAATTTGATGCGTAATAGTATTCCTTAAAATTAAGTGTATAAGTTATGTAGGGAAATGGAAATGATCAAAGTGGGGCAATCCAAAGAAAACCTCAGGAAATAATAAACATGCAAGAAAAATGCTGTAGAACCTACAAAGTTCTTCTCTTAAGGTTCTACTTCACCCAACAAACTTGTAAAATGATAGGGCGAGGGCGAGGGGGCAGCAAAAACAAAAGACTTCCTTTCCCCACTCCCTTTCCTCTTTCTTTTGCCAGAGCTTATTGCAAACTCTTGGAAACATTGTTTGAAATAGAATGCATTTGGTTAATTTTATTCTTTCAGGGACGGCGCTGGGTGGTGCCTGGAGCAGTCTTTTAGAGTCACAGAAAAAGTTGAAACCCTGCAAGAAAAGTACGGAGTTCTGAGACCCGCGGAGGTTGAGTAATAAAAAAGTAAAAGGCACTTTACTTAAAGACACAGCTCATTTCACTGTCCCGGCTCCGTGCTGGGTAGCTGAGAGACAGCTTGCATCGCCTCTCGTTTCTGAAAGACTGCAGGAGTATCGCAGTAAACAGGAGTGTAAAGTGGGAGCGTTATTCTCGGATTTATTCTGCTTCACCAAAGCTGAGGCTGCTGAAGTCTGAGCATCCATAGCAGCGCGCACCTCGGCAGCCTACGACTTGCTCTCACTCTGAGCATCCCGAGCAAGTCGAGAGCTCAGAACCTGGAGGGAATCCTGGGCCCGCAACCTGACTCCGCTCACCACCGATTGGCCCACGCCCCGAACTCCGCCCCCGCGGTCGGGGCGGAGGTTTCGCCTGGACCCGCCCCCTAGCCCTGGGAATCGCCGCCTGGCAGGCCGGCTGCGCCTGCCACTCAGCCCGAGTGGCGGAGGCTTTCGACTCCGAGCCCCGCCCCCTCCCCCCTAATTGATATTATTGGAGTGTGGAGCAAGCGGCCGGTCTGCAGTCGGAGACTTGCAGGCAGCAAACACGGTGCGAACGAACAGGAGGGGGGAGGGGGGGAATAAAAAAGCTAAACGTGGAGCAGCCGGCCGGAGATCTAGAGGGGGATCGATGCGAGGAGCGCAATTAAAGAAACCCCACTTCGGAGCAAACAGCATTTAAAAAGCTGCGACTCAACTGAAACCTAAAATAAAACCTGCTCATGCACCATGGTTTTTCAAACTCGGCACCCTTCATGGATTATTTTATGCTACATCTGGCTGCTCCGCTTTGCACATACCGGGGAAGCACAGGCTGCGAAGGAAGGTAAGACGATGTTGGAAAGCAAAGTTTGTTCTGACTTATTTATTTAGCTGTCTGTCTACCTGCACCAGTCCGCTTGTCCGCGGGCTGCCGGCCGCGCCTCCGGCGCCGGGCGACCCTCCCCCGCCGGCTCCCCGCCCCCTCACCGCTCGGGCAGCTACAGGCCGGCGGGCAGCGAGTGGGGCTGCTTCTAGCCGCCGGCAGCCTTGCGCCCCAGGGTCGTCCGCCCGACGGGAGCAACGTTTGTGGCGCGGGCAGTCTGGAGGGCGTGAGCAGCAGCGGAGAGCAGAGGGGTGGGGTGGAGGGGACGATCGGCACGCGCTTGCTCTAGGAACCCGAGCGGGTCAGGGCTCTCCTCCAGCCTCTCCTCTTCCTCCTCGCGGTGTTTTCCTCCGGCGGGGTACGCAGCGGCCAGAGTTGGTCGGAGACTGGGGAGTGTTGCCCGTGATGTCCCGGCTAGCCCGCTGGTGAGCGCTCGAGTCTGAAGCCTTCCCAGTGGAGCCGTGACTTGTGTGAGCTCCGAACGCTCGGGTTACTAATGAAGTGCTCACTGCGTCGAAGGAGGCGGCGCGGGCCTGCGGTTGGTGCTCGGCCGCCAGCGCGGAACAATAACGGCGCGGAGGTGAAGCGGGAGAGCGGCGCGCACCCGGAGGGCCGGGGACATCCATTCAGAGTGCGCCGCTCGCGGGGCTCGCCGGCCGCGGAGACAGCGGCAGCCCCGCGGGGATCGGCAGAGCTGGAGAGGCAGGGGGCGGTCTGGGGCTGTGCAGTTGACTTGGAGATACCGCCTGGGCGACTGAGCCCCCCAAGATCGGACCCACAGTCCGGCAGTTGAGGAGTCCAGTGGTCAAACCTCGCGAAAAAACCCAGAGCCTGAGGGCTAGTTTAGATTGATGAAAGCAGGTTTCATTTCAGCAGCCACTTACGCATGTATATGATTATTTTATTATTTTTTTTTCTTCTTTGAGTCATTGACAGAAGGTAAAATACCTTTTGGTGCCTGTAGTCGGAGCTGGGGAAAAATAAATCATGTCAATGGTAATGTCATGCTTTTGAGCAGTGGTACAATCAACCTCCACCTCCCCATCTTCTAGGATGGAAGTCTGAGGCTTTATTTCAGATATTTAAAGGCGGAATATAATAATTGCTTGTTCCTGAACCGTGGAGGATGCAAGATTTGTTATCAGATTTAGGTCATGCTGGTGGTGATGGGGAGGGGAGCAGTGGCTGCTTATCGCTGCTATGGGCTTTATCTGTCTCGGAAAACTTAGTGACTTAGTGCTGCTTTTCTTTATTCTTTCAGTGAACCCCTCTTCATTCACGCAAACCACTCCCCAGCCCAACGCTAAGCCCTATTCTTTGATCCAGCGTGACCTTCTGACCCCAGTTTCCACATCTGCAACCTGTATTGGCGCTGAACCCATTCAGAGAAAACAGTGACGGCGCTGTCGGTTATGCATTTGCAGATGAAACAACATCTGCTAGAAACACACACTCAGACACACCAAAAACTCCATTTCTACTCGCATGACCCTGGGATCAGGAGCATTTAGTCCCGGAATCTTGTACTAATTCCTCCGAAATAGCGGGACGTGAGCAAAAGTTTGCACCTCAGCTGCGAAGCCCGGCGCGCGAGCTCATGCAGACCGGGGCGGGAGTTTGAGCTATAAATAACTGCATCACTAGGGGGAGAGGTTTCAGCAGCCAGAATGTCTCGCTCGTTTTTCTCTTCTGGGTGCAAGATACGTGGAGAGGATTCTGATTCCAGGAGACGGGATTTTTTAAATGCAGAAGTGAGATGTTTAAAAGGCGGGCGGGGGTGGCGCGTGCTCCTGGCTTCTTTCGGTGGCAACACTTTCTGCGCCCGGTGGCGACCAAGCATTGCCATTCTGGGAGCCAGCGATCCTCGAGGCAGTACCATTTTACCCAGGGGCGTCTTTTGGCAACCACCTAGAGCAGGTGTCTGACCTTCTCCGGTAGCTGGAGGAAGGTGTGAGACCGCCTTCCTTCACTTTCCCATACATGATCTCTTGGGGGAGGTCAGTTACCGCTACTGCGAGCGCCTGTATAGGTCAGAGTCTGACGCTTGGAGGCGAACTGCAGCTGCTGCTTTTCCTCTCGGTAAATGCCACCGCCAGATTCCTTGGAGGAGACGCTTCCCGAAAGCCTCTCTCCTCTCTGCTCCTTCAGGGCGCCACCGGTTCCCTGGAGTGTCCAGGTCTGGCGAAGGCGTAATGGATGCTCGGCGCGGCGGGCACGCCCGTCTGGCAGCCCCCGCCCCGCCCCGCTCCGCCCCGCCCCGGCCCCCACCGCTGACCGCGCTGCCCCTGGCCAGCTAGTCTCGCGCCTCGCCCTTACCCTCACCCGGCGGGCTCGGTGGGGCGTGGGATCCTCAGCCCGGGACGGTGCGTTCTGGGCCCTGCTAGGTCGCGGGGCGCTGCGCCTCCGCGGGCGTAAAGGGAGGAAGGTTCTTGGTGCTCGGAGCGGGAAGGCGAAAGCGCACACTTGCGGGTGTATCCGGAGAGCTGACAGCAGGGAGGGAGACACGCTGATCACTTTCGAGCTGCTTTTGATTAAATGCTCCGGGTCCTGTTTCTGTTTTGATTTTAAACCTTAGTTTGTCTCTCTCTTAACTTGTTTGCCATCTCCACCCCGCGGTGGTCCCTGGCTCCACCCCAGGCTGTGCTGAGGGTTAACGGAACTGCAGTAAACAATAATCACAAGACCTATTTCACTTTCAAAAACGACCCTAGAAGGTCACTTGGGTTTAAAAATCCACTTATTTCTTGTCAGTATAGAGGAAAAAAAAAAAACAAAAATAATAAATCATCTCAAAAGGAGAGTACGCAGACCCCACGTAGTTTTCTGTGCTTCTTCTCTATTGTTGAGGACAACAAATAAACTTTAAAAATTACTTCATGTAAATTCACGAGTCCAACGATTTAGTAATGTTCCAAGTACGAAATACAACTTGGCATTTTAAAAGTGTGTTTCTCCCCTTAGTTGAATGAGTATCCAGCATTTGTGGCCAAGGTTTGTGCTGTCATAGCCTCCCCAGAGTCTTTAAACATAAAACAATTGTGAAAGTGTCTATATCTACTTAAAAATACAGGGAGTAACTTTGACTAGAATGGACTTGAACACATCGTCAACTATTCCTTTGTTTCCCCAGCATAACAAATTTTCATTACCTTTCAAATACATACCTTTAGTAATTATTTGAAAGTTCATGGAAACATACTTTTTAACCCCACATTTTAATATTTTACTGAGGTCGTTAAGCATATTTACATACTTGAAAATGTATTCACCATTGTTTCTAGACAAATTGCTATTTTCGTTAAAGTTCCATAAAGTCAGATAAATATTTTTAAAGAGTGAAAAGAAAGTAGTTCTGAAACCATGAGCCAGTTTGAGTAAAAAATGGATGCTTATAAAGGCAAGTGCCCTAAAATGTAATAAAATATATCAAGTTGGAGCCATGATCTAAATAATGGCATTTTAAGAAATTTGGTTTATGCTATCAGAACATTTGCATTCATATAAGTATTATGCTTTTTGATACCAAAAAAGTAGAATGAAGTATTTGTAAAAGAATCAGTTTACCATCTAGTGCTTTGAAATATTTGGAAATTAAAGAAATAGAAATATTTTTAAAATGTGTTTTGCTAGTCTATTTTACATATATGTGTCTATATATATATATGTTGTATATATGTGTATATATATGTATCCTGTACATAATAGACAATTTGTTTTCCCATGATAATACTGCTTAATGTAGTTTTTAACTGTATTCATGTTGGCTGAAGAGAAGATGCAGTAGATGATAAGTTCTTTAAAAAATTAAACTCCAATTCTCAAAAGGCTGTAGGAAATACTTTTGGCAGAATATTACAAATTAATGACTGGCTGCAAAGTATATGGATTTATGCTTTGTTACTGTATTATACAGAATTTGGAGGGCTTAAGCTCTTTATAATATATAATTACTGGGAGTATATCACATAGCCATTTTTACACTTACTCTCATGCTACTTTGAATTTTTAAGATTAAATATTTTAATTAAAAAATAACCAAGTATAAAATGGGTATTTAAACATTTTTCCTCTCTAACAAAGTGGAATAGATTATGAATGAGTATTCGTTCACCATTAATTTATATAAGTAAAGGTGTATATATTTTAAATCATGAAATGGTAGATTCATGTTAGTAACTTTTACTTTTGTGTTTAAATTTTTATGTAACTTTGGGAAATAAAAACTTTCTTTTTCAGTACTACTGCTGGATTCTAAAGCACAACAAACAGAATTGGAATGGATTTCCTCTCCACCCAATGGGGTAAGTGCTTTTCCTCTTAAAAATGACCATTTACCTTTAAAGTAAGAAACAATACCTTTTTCCTTCCCCCTCACCCCCTGTGAGAAATTCTTCATATTTAAACTTTGAATTTCAATTTTCTTATTAAATACGCTGTTCTGTTAATAGGAGACATTGAGCTCTTTGAATAGCAAAGGTATACTTAGAAAATAGGGAAATGAATAAAAAAATCTCTATAACCGTAATTTTTTGAGCTCTTATTGTGAGTAGAATCATACCTCAAGTTTCAAGCTATAAATGCTAACTAATTGCAGGGAACATTCCTTTCACAAACTCACAAACTCTTTAGTTGCTTTGTATTTCCTTGGTATAATCACCAGGTAGGTTGTATATATAGCTCTTCAAAACAGTAGGTAATCTGTTTTCTTCTTTGAAAAACAGCTTTAGCAACATTCAAAATGTACTTTTAAAAGTTAAAGCTAATATGCTCAGTATTTTAGTGTAAAGTTTGCTGTAAAATACTTGAAATACGCAGATTTATATTATGTGCTCTCTGCTGTTATTAATCAGAAGTGAGAGTAGATCATGCATATTACAGTAAAAAACCCACTACAATAAATATGAATGAAAAGCATCCAATAGAAATCTATGAAAAGATAAACCCTAAAAAAGTTCTGATTATTACGTTCGATGTATGAGGAAAGGTATATTTACTTTAATTTATTTCAATCTGTATGCCCTCATGTCTTATTTTAATTGTGAGAGAGATACAATCTTTCTCTCTTGTTAAGAAAATTGGCTCTGAGGAAAAGAGAAATTACTCCATTGTTACTTAAGTTATTGCTAGAAACTAAACTATGGAGTCAAAGTATAAATGAGGATACAAAAGGTATAAAAATTATGCAAAGAGAAGAATGAATGTTTGAAGCGTTGTTTTAAGTATAACAGCATCATAAAATCAATGTCATGAGCCGAAATTTGAGCATACAAATCTGTTTAAGATACTCAGATTTTTCTCTAAATTAACATTTGAGAGATTGCTTAAGATTGTGTTGTAGGTCTCTGTGTGAAAAAAATGACAAATATTTTACTGATTAAAATTAAAGTATTGAGTTTGAAGTATGCATGTCATGCTTTTCTGAAAGTAGTTTCCACAAGTAAAATAATATACTTTTTAGGAAGACAGTCACAATAAAAAATGAAATACCTTTCTTGCCAGTGACAGATGTAGCCCATTTTCTACCATCCATCAATTAAAACAGAGAGAGATAGAAGTTGGTTTTTATCTCTAAGGAGAAGTAAACTGATATATGATTGTAGTATTTCATCCATGTAGTTCATAAAATGATAAATTGTCACTGTCTATGTTATCTTGGACTCAAATGGGCATTTTATCAGTCCAGAGTATCTTGAGTTAACAGTTAACTCTACTTATCTCTAGGAATCGACAGGTAATAATAAAAAATGATGATTGACAATATTTTACAAATGTGATTAAATGTCTAACTAGAAACAAAATGTTATAAATGTATGTTTCTAGAATATATTTTTATAAACATACCATGAAAGTATAGTATCTGAATTAAGACTTTCTATCCCAGTATATTGCCATTTGTGAAAATGATTGCATTCTCTTAGAAAGTGAGATAATAAAATATGAGTTCTGTTCAATTCATTTACATAGTCATATTATTTGTTCTCAATACAATGTTATGTTAAAACTTATCCTCTGAGAATTAAATTTTTGAATAAAAATTAAATTAACTGAGTTTCATACATTGTAAAATTGATTTTTCACACACAGAACAAAATACTGTAGTTGTTCTTGAAGTTAGGAAAAGGAATTCTTGAGATATATCTTTCTGTAATTGCTAGACTTGATTTCTTCAAACTGGGGAATTGTTAAAATGAGCACAATTATCTTTGGAGTTTTTGACTTTTTGGAAGATACCATTATTAGTTGTAATTTTTGAAATAGTTTTAGTCTAATCTAGAGACTAAATCTACCTGTCAAAGGGGATGAATTTGGGTATATTTGACTAATGGCCATTCAAACAGATTATAAGCAGTTAACTGAAACAAAGGGAAACTGTGCTTACCTTTAACTAGTCACAAACTTTAGATGTCATTAGTAAATCTGAACATGATAATTGGTTCTTTGCTTCGTAATACTTGGCTGTTTATAGTAAAGTTGCAGCAGATATAATACGTTTCTGAATTATGGCCTGTTACATAATTTGTCAGTTATCTAAGAATGAGTTTTAAGAGTATATTAATATTTTGTGTACCATTATGCAAATTGATTCTGCGATCAAGTCTTGCAAATAAAATTTGTTTATTAGTTTATTTTCCATCTTAAAATAATAAAGATTGCATGCAGTGTGACTTTGAACTTGAGTACTAATACACTTTTTTTTATATTTGGCATTTCACATAGGGGGAGTGAATATAGGTAGATGAGAATTTCACTTACGTTATAAATGTAAAGTGAATTTTATTTTTTTAATCATGGTAAGGAAGGATATAAGGATCTCCCTTGTGTGGTGAAAGGGGGTACGTCTCAGCACTATGAAGCCATCTGCATCCACTGCAGTTTGAGTTTGATCCCAGGCCAGGAAGGTAATGCATAGGTCAGGGAAGTGACACATATGGTGCAGTAGGTCCTTGTGTCTGGCCTGAAGCTCCTCTCAGCAGTGTGTTTCATTCAGTCTGCCTGTTCTGCTCCCCACTCTCTCTCTGGTGAACCCTTTCAACCCTCGCACTGCTGGCCTACGCCCAGCTCTTATATGCATAAATAAAGTCTTTAAAAAAGGATATAAGCAACTGTTATTTTAGTTGTGATGGCTATTATAGGTGACAGAAATTAATTTACTAATGTACAATATAGGTTATATATGGTTTGACCTTTAAAATTGCAAATTTTATGAAACTTAATTTTTTTAGTGGAAATATAGATTATGCATTTGCTATACTATACACTTTATAAGTATATGAGTGGACATTCTTAAACATCTGAATTTTTTCTGCCAGAAAATTTAACTGAAAAAGGATCCAGCATGCTGACTCGCCACCTACATATTTATGGGACTTTATATACAATGTTATACATAACTTAGCAGTGTACAAATACCACTGTAAAATGTTACCCTATTATATTTTATTTTGAACAGATGCCGAAGAGTCCATATTAAAAATATCAACATGTTGTGAAATGCTTTTCATATTTCAGAGTGCCAGTGGAATTTTCTTCAGTGTTTTTAGATTTTTGTCTACATTGAAATATATTATCAATACTTAAAATGACAGTTTATCAAAAATTCTGCCATATATCTGTATGTGTATTTATTAAATAGTAATTTAAATTGTACATTCTAGTCTATACAAAGTATGATTTCAGTGGAGGCTATAGACATAAGCAAACATGTAAAAAGAAACACTAATACACAGCAAACAGATACTAAACAAAATGAAATATTTATTGTATGTACAAACAATGCAAACAGCCTAAATGATGTTCAGCCACCCACCAGGATGAAGCTAAACTGAAAATCCTGTATTCTCAGGTTACAGTATTTTGCCAGTGTCGAAATTCACCTAACGAAAAGATTCCCATTTTATGCTATACTAGAGATTGTTGATGCCGTTCAGTAACAAAGTGTTTATTTTTGCTGCATGACTGATGACCTTTTTTAAATTTTACAGTGGGAAGAAATTAGTGGTTTGGATGAGAACTATACCCCCATACGAACATACCAGGTGTGCCAAGTCATGGAACCCAACCAAAACAACTGGCTGCGGACTAACTGGATTTCAAAAGGCAATGCACAAAGGATTTTTGTAGAATTGAAATTCACCCTGAGGGATTGTAACAGTCTTCCTGGAGTATTGGGAACCTGCAAGGAAACCTTTAATTTGTACTATTATGAAACAGACTATGACACTGGCAGGAATATAAGAGAAAACCTCTATGTAAAAATAGACACCATTGCTGCAGATGAAAGTTTTACTCAAGGTGACCTTGGTGAAAGAAAGATGAAGCTTAACACTGAGGTGAGAGAGATTGGACCTTTGTCCAAAAAGGGATTCTATCTTGCCTTTCAGGATGTAGGGGCTTGCATAGCATTGGTTTCTGTCAAAGTGTACTACAAGAAGTGCTGGTCCATTATTGAGAACTTAGCTGTCTTTCCAGATACAGTGACTGGTTCAGAATTTTCCTCTTTAGTCGAGGTTCGAGGGACATGTGTCAGCAGTGCAGAGGAAGAGGCGGAAAACTCCCCCAGGATGCACTGCAGTGCAGAAGGAGAATGGTTAGTGCCCATTGGAAAATGTATCTGCAAAGCAGGCTACCAGCAAAAAGGCGACACTTGTGAACGTAAGTAATAAGTTTTATTAATATTCCACTTTGCATTTTTTTTATTTTGCTGTCAGAAACTTCTAAGAAAGAGTAATTATTTGAACAAGTGAGTATATACCTGCAGCTCCATTCAGTAGGTCTTAAACAGAGTTACTGTTGAATTTGTCAGTGATTGCCCACAGTGATAATCTGCACTGTACATTGTACAATAAATACCTGCAATAATGATTCTTGTTACCAAAATTTAACTTGCCCTGTGGGCCACACAGAAGTCAATGGTTGCATGTTAGGCTATGAGACATAAAAGAGGTGAAGGGGCAGAGTGAGGTGGTGTTAATCAGTATTTAATGATAGGTGATTCCTCCTGCTTTTAAACCCATGCTATCTAGACCAAGAAGAGAGGTTACCAGGGCTGCTAACAAGATATTTCCTGTGACAGGACAGGCAGAGCATATACAAGTACATTGACGGACTTTTTTTTTTTTTTTTTATAAATTGTAAAACTTGATACAAAATCATCACATTTCACTTGATAAATCTCTGAGCTTTTTTCTGTCAAGGTTGTATTTTTTCTAAATAATAAAATTAATGGCTTTCTGATACGTCATCAAGGATCCCATTTTTCTATTTAAAATTGTGTCACTTGGACTTCAAGGTTAATAGGTATTTTTCTGTTTGTAGATAGTCTCAGCAATATCTTGTGAGTTTGTATTGCTTGTGTTTCTTTTAACCTAACATACAGAACATAGTATATTCCAAAATAGCTTTTGTATATTCTTTGTACTTCTATCCATGTGCATAATAATATATTTGTAAATCCTAGGTAAGTTATAAGAAATTGTAGTTAGTAATAATTATTTTAGCCAGAGTTTTTGATAAATTAAGTATAGACACTCCATCAAATACTTACATATACCAGTTTATTTAATTAGTTGGAGGTATCATTGTCATCTCTGTTTTTTAGAATAGAAAATTGGGACTCTCGAGTAAATTTCTTGCTTGCACTTAATTTAGTAATATTTGTATTAGCTTAGATTTAATCTCAGCTCATTCTCATGCCAGAGCCTGGGATTTTAGTGTCAGTATTGCCCTTGTCTCTATCACAAAGCGAGGAGAACTTAGTAAATATTATCATTTCATTCTTGAGCTTAAATGTCTTGTTTATAGTTGTTGAGGGCACAAGTCACATTACTTTCACATAAAATTCTCATTTTATTAAAATATTTAAACAAGAAGTAATAATTAATGTATTATCCCATACAGTCACCAATAACCATTCAGGTTCTGAAAAGGGACTGTTATAAATTGAGATGTGCTGGAAGTATAAATTAAGCCCTGGATTTTGAACATTTATACATAAAGAGAGAATGTAATATTCATCATTATAAATTTTTAAAAATTATGCTTACATGTTAAAATAAGCAAGCCAGATATATTGGGTTACATAAAATGTAAAATTAATTTTGACTTATTTTTACTCTTTTAATGAGGCTCGTAGAAGTTTAAAGTTACATTTGTAGCTCACCTTCTGTTTCTATTGGTCACATCCTTCGATGGAGTAACTACAATGTGGAACAAATATATATATGCATATATATATATATATATATATTTCTGTTGTGGCTGAAAAGGTAAATATGGCATAGATGGTCACTGATATGCCAAGCACCCTATAACCTAGCTCTCGGTTATCATCCATGCCATAGTGGACACTCTGTGATATGAACTTGGAGCAGAACAATCGGAGATGTTCATAGATTATGGTGCTACAGGCAAGTTAAGCAACTCCCTTTGACATTCCTGGAGAAGTCAAACCTACATATGTGCATATGCCTTCTTCCCATACCCCTCTTAGGCCGTATTTCTTATTGAGTAAAAACTCCCGCACTTTCCATATATGTGAAAATCAAAAACTGATGAAGATTTATCACAACTAGTAGGCAAAATGCTATCCCACCAGGTAAGTATAGAGATATTCTCTGTTAGCTATTTTAATTTACAAAACTGAACTATTTTTATTGATTGGAAGTGAACAGCAGTTACTTGGAAATGATGGTGGACTCTAACAGTAACTATTATTTTAAAAAGATTAAGAACATACTGTTATCCTCTACTATGTATACAACCAATTCAGGAGTACATATTTTGATTATATGACAGTTGAATGTAAAACTTTTTTACAGTTAAAAATAGGAAACATAAAAAATAAAGAGGAATTAACACTAATGTGCACAGTGAAATTTGTCTAAGCAGAAACTAGGAAATAGAATTAATTAGAACTCTTACAAAGTTCAAAAGAAACTTAAAGTATCTTTTTGTTTCTTTTTATGTCATTTAACACAAATGATTTCTAAATTTGCCTACTTAAAAAGCATAGGAAAACTTGCAATCTTATATTTCTAAGTATCTAATTTAATAAAAAAGTAATCTTTAATTATGCAAAAGAGATTTATTACTGTGACGAAGTCTCCAATTTATTCCAGGGAGAAAAATCATCTCATTTAATGTGATGCTATAAAAATTCACATTCATTTATTTTGGTTTCAAGAAGTGGAACCACATTTGAGTACCAAAATTGTCACCTGCAAATTATACTAAGGTATTTAAAAATAAAGTAAAATTACTTCACTATCATCTACATTAATTCTGGGATGGAATGGGTAGAATCAGATACTGATAGAGTTCATTAAGGGGAAAAAAATCATGACCTATTGAGTCAAGATGCCTTGTTAAGAGTTCAACTGAAAGATTGTGCGCACATTGTTATAAGTAAATTGTTTATCACCTAAATTTCTTAATTTTTAACTTTGGTGATATTAACAAATAGAATTAAATTTTTTACACTTAACTGTGGCACTAAGTTCCTTTGCAAAAACACTTCCTCTTTGGCTTAATTCCAGCACATTGCATTGAGAGTACTTGCCTCTGGAATCAATCCAGCCTGCCTTTATAGTATTTCTCCTGTTTCCTTTCAATGATCCTGTTAAGAGTTTGAAAACAAATTCCAGTCCCATATTGAGGAAAACTGAAGTGTTTGGGAGAGGATGCTAGTGAGTTCCTAGCCAAAAGAGACCGGTTAGCCGCTTAAAGACAAGTTTTATCTGTTCGGCCCATTGCGATCTATTTCATTATTATTTGAGATCTGAACAACTATGAAAATTGACTACAGTTTTGATCTGTTGACATAGAAACATCTTTTTCCCTTTGTTAAAATGGAAAAAGAAAAACTTTGAAAACCAAATGTTTCTTAAGTCTACTAATATATGTTGAACTTAATGACTAATTGTTTAAAATTGTGCTTTTATAAAGACCATTTTTGCAATCATTTAAAAATATATAATTCTAGTAAGTCGGCATAATTTTATTGTTGAAAAAGTTGTTTTGTTTTGCATTTTTTGCCTTTGAAGTCCCATCACCTGTTTGTAAACTAGCCTATATATTTTCTTAGATAAATATATCTGAAAAAAACTAAGTGTAGATTATATTTTACATACATAAATATTTTCAGAAGACTCATACACTTATGTTCTGAAATGTACTTTGAAAATTTTGGAACTTTACTATTAAAAAAAAAAGAATAGTCTTTGTCAAAGTATAAACTGAACATTGTAATTTGAATTTGTATAGGACATTTGCTTTTTAGCTTAACTTATTAATAATGCAAAAAGGAGTTTGCTAAGTAAAGAAATGTTATGGGGAGTGAATGATATTTCATGTACATTTTCATTTTATCATTTAATCATTATTATATCTCTAAGAGGTGGAAAGTATTACTTTTTCACTCTTCCGACACAGAAGAAACTGAAGTTCAAGGATAGTAATAATTCACAAAACTGGACAAGAATCCAAGATCTTGTTTATCAATTCAAGTCTTTTTACTCTATAACACTATATTGCTTCTGAAAATTTGCCCTGGACTTTTAAACAAAAAGCTTTAGGTACTGAAGCACTATTAAGACTTAATTCTAAGGAGAGTGACTATGCCTAGTTTGCCTGGGTAATTATTTTATTTATAAATACCACCTCTTTTTACTTTCAAAAATGTCCTATTTGGATGATAAAATCTATGAAGACCCTAAACCTAAAAATTCCAAGGATATAGTGAAGTTTGTATGCACATATTTCAGAACATAAAGGTGTAATTTCTTAAATATTTTAAATTAAAGAAAATTAGAAATATCCTTTTTAATGACTTCATATAAAAGGCAATTCAAATAATCATAGATTTTGTATTTTTATTAGTAGGAATTTCCCAAATTAAATTTGAATTTCCCAATTAATAGGCTTCTTAAGAGTTTTCAATTAATAAAATAACAAGTCTGTCATTATTTTAATATGTAATTTATGGATATACATATAAGTTCAATACATTTAAATATCCATTGAACTTTATCTTATTCACAATACTTTAAAGTTGTTTTTGTTTATTGGATTTTTGAAAACCATGTGTTTTTTTTTTTCCCCACAAAAAGCTACTCTGTAATATATACCATGCATTTTCATAATTCTTTATAGTACATAATGCTTATACCCAATACATATAGAAATTGAGGATACACTGTACTTTTAATAGCTTAGAGGTTAGAGTCACAGAGTTTTTAAATTCTGGCTCCACAGAATACCAGGTGCATAAACTAGGACAATCTCTCTAAGCTTTAATTTCCTTAAGTATAAATTGGGACTAATAAAAATAGTACCTCCCTCACAGGGTTCTTGTCAGAATTGAATGAAATAATGCATATAAAAATCCTAAGAATAGTATCTGGGACATAGCAAATAATCAATGAATGCTTTCTTTCATCTTATTATTAATAATGTAAAAAGGAGTTTGCTAAGTAGAGAAATCTTATGAGGAGTGAATGATATTTCATAAGCCACAAATAGTTAAATGACTTTTGAGTCAGTGATCTCAACCTACTAGTTTATCTAAGATGATTCAAAAAAAGAAAACAACTTTCCATATAACCATTTCTTCCCCTTATCAATGTATGTGATTTTAAATATTGAAAATCAACCAA